CCATCATGCCTTGTTACCACTGTGCAGGCTGGTGGTGGTGGTGTAATGGTGTGGGGGATGTTTTCCTGGCACACTTTAGGCCCCTTAGTGCCAATTGGGCATCGTTTAAATGCCACGGCCTACCTGAGCATTGTTTCTGACCATGTCCATCCCTTTATGGCCACCATGTACCCATCCTCTGATGGCTACTTCCACCATGTCACAAAGCTCTAATCATTTCAAATTGGTTTCTTGAACATGACAATGAGTTCACTGTACTAAAATGGCCTCCACAGTCACCAGATCTCAACCCAATAGAGCATCTTTGGGATGTGGTGGAACGGGAGATTCGCATCATGGATGTGCAGCCGACAAATCTGCGGCAACTGTGTGATGCCATCATGTCAATATGGACCAAACTCCCTGAGGAATGCTTCCAGCACCTTGTTGAATCTATGCCACGAAGAATTGAGGCAGTTCTGAAGGCAAAAGGGGGTCCAACCCGTTACTAGCATGGGGTACCTAATAAAGTGGCCGGTGAGTGTAGACCAACCCACTCACACATATATGCAGTTGTGCTCAAATAACATATAGCCTACCAAATGCAGAACCTTTAAGGTGTTTTTTTCTTTCTATTTGGCAGAACAAATAACTACCACAAGACAAAATAATAACTGCATTTGCTCCAAAAAATCCTACTCAAACGTTTACACACATTTGGTCCTTAAAAGGATAGTTCACCCAAAAATGCTAATTCTGTCATCATTTACTCACCCTCATGTTTTTTCTGTGAAATAAAGGAGAAATTATTAGCAATGTTCCAGTCGCTTTTCCATGCAGTTAAAATTAAGTCAAGTCACCTTTATTTATTTAGCGCTCTATACAATATAGAATGTTTCAAAACGGCTCAGTGATGACAGGAAATTTTTTTTTTAATAATGCGAGCAATTCATTTAGACTGTAAATCAGTTCTAAAAAGAAAACTCATTGTTCAGCTGAGGTCAGTTTAGTATTGATTCAGTTGAATGGAGACAGGAGCCTTTTTTCAAGCTTTAGAAAAGGTCGAAAAACACAATAAAAGCATAATAAAAGTCTATTCGGCATGGGCTGGAGATCCAGCAACCAAAGACAATTGAAAGATTAATACTCTTTAAAAGGCATTGATGCTGCCACAATATTAAAACGAGTAATTTTGCATTCTAAAATATATTTAAATAGCTTATTCTGCACTCTAAGAAAAAGTATAGGGCCCAATTTACTGTTAATATATCAAAAAAATCCAGAATTTTCACAGGTGTATTTAAAATTATGCTATGCATTGTGTTGTGTTTTAGTCTTTTGTTATCTCTTGTGACCTATATATCCAATTGAATGGGCTCCTCGAACAAGAAAAAATGTAGGGCGGGACTTGATTTGGATGGTTGTGATTTGCTATTGGTCGATCTCATGTGAGTGACAGGTTGTCCCGCCCTCGTGCCAGTAAACACGCGTCATCAGAGCGAGAAGAGATGACGCCGCAAAAGGGAAGGAAACAAGGCTCTGGACACAAATAAACTAGTTTATTAGATCTCTACTGGTTGTTCAAAACCGAACAAGCCATTTTAACCAAGTATCCATCCAACACCTAAAGCATTCAAAAGCCTGAGATTTTTCTTGAGCGGTGCGTGCAGAGGACACAGCAAGTCCCCATTCGACTAGTGTAATAATCCAAAGCGAGTAGTGTTTGAATGAATTATTGATAAAGCCGAGTAAAGAGGGTTAGCAGCAGGCGGAGGTATGTAGCTACTTTGATCTCACAACTATAATTTCTCTCTCTGAACATCTCTTGGAGGATGGGAATGAAAATTGTCAGTTCAAGTATTTAGAGGGATTCAAAGTGGTCGGCATTTTAAACTCAGCGAAAACTTCCAGAAAAGTTCTGCAGTTCACTATATTAGCATAATTCAATCACACTTCGAGACCTCAATAACACTGGCACAGCGCTAACACAAAACACTTACAATAACAATACCATTTTCCCTCGACAAAGCGATATTATAAGATAAAAGGGATCAATTGAAAATAACCCCCCCCCTCCTCCTCCCTGCAGAATCAAACTCAACCTCAACAAATTTGATATGAACCCTGTAACACCTGACATATGAAATAATAGTTTTATGTAGGCCTACCTTTAGTAAAAATCTATTTTTATTATTATGTTATCATATTTGATAAATCAGACTTTTATGGCTATACAGTATGATATACGAGAAGATGGAGCTCATGATCGACGAGGCCCAAACTATATGCAACTTGGTGCAGTGGCCAAAAAGTAATGTGTCCATAGCATGAAATTCAGATAGCTGTAAAGCCTGTGTAATAATATTATAACATGATTTTTATAAAAAATAATGTACGGATAATCAACTGACAATAGGCTATAACGACCTAATGGTGCATTTTTAGAATTATACTAAAAGGCTTTTTTCCTCTTTGCTAATAAAGCAAAAGCTATCAATATCAATCAGACGATGGAAGGCATGTAGTAGATTGTGTACATTGTTCAGCAAAGTTTTGATAACGTTGGTAATTTAGAGACCTTAGAAATTTGCGTATTAAATATTATACACAATAGGCTTTATAGGGTTGAATATGAGCAATAGTAATAGTGCTTCTTAGCTAGCTTGACTAATAACAGTTTATTTGAATAACATGGCTACATCTTCACTCGTGGTGCATGTGAACTCATTTTATTGTTTAAATGTCAGCTAAATGTCAGAATTTTCTGAAACAATGTTCTTTATACATGCTTTACAGAATGTACAGGTACAGTATACAAAAAAAAAATACACAAAAAAATGAACAAAACATTTATAAAGCAGCATTTAAATATTGTCTAAGCACTTAAGCTAAACTTTGGTTTGCGGAAGGCAGGAATGTTTGATCCGTGTGGATTTTCTTTGGTGTAAATCGAAAAGAACTGGAAGTGAAATCATACTTGTTCATTTTGTAAAGATCCCAACAAAGTCCTGTATAATAAAACCGATGTCCTCTTAAATTACATTTAAACAAAACTGTTTTGCATTAATCTCCCACAAGCTGAACCAAGAGAGACCACAGTAAGAGGCCAAGCAAGCATTAACAGTAATTCGAAAAATGTAGAGGTTTTAAATGTGGCTGGAAGCCGGTGATGACACACACTGCTTTCCTTTCAGACAGGGAAATTGACGCAGCGAGCAGTCAGCTGCATCATCTGGCATCAATGTCTCTTGATTAGTGTAACTGTATAGCTAACTGCAAGGCAAGAGATTGTGCAAAAAGCAACAAATTAATATGCAAATCAAGGGGTAGTTATCGCAGTTGGAAAGTGGTTGATAAGAAATAATATGCATTAAAAGAAGACAGTGACCACATATCTGCCGCAGTGAAAGATCCAGCTTTTGTACGCTCAAAAAGTGCAAAATGTCAGTTGTACTACAGAATGAATGGTTAAGATGTAATCAGGGGGATCCATACAGATGGTTTGGGTCATCAAGCATTCAAGTCCAGACTGAGTCAAGATTAAATCAATGTGAAAATAGGTAATAGCACCCGTAAATGTGACCTTTATATTGGTCAAAGCATGATTTGTGTGTTCTAGGTTCAACAAACTCAAATCTAATGCAAAATCCATATGGGGATATGTTTCACCTCACACAAGATTCCAGATTGCACAGATTACTATTGAGATGACTGCATTTTGCCCACAGAATTTCGCCATACAAAGGTAAACGTGAGTGCACCTTTAAAGCAAGGTTGCGGCTAATATCCGAAACCTGAAAAATGCTGTTCTGGAGGCAGGAAGAGAACAATGCGTGTTCAAATCAAGATACTAAGATACCCAAATCTAGATAATTTGGTCAATTTTGAAATCCAACAATCCTGTGCATGCTTTTTAGCATAAGAATAAATTTGGACGGACTGACTGACTAAAAGCATTTATACATTTATTTTTCTCCAATTTCTAAGACATAAGAATTGTGGTCAATAAATATTCCCTATATATATCTCCAAAGCTCACTTGATCTTGAACAAATTCATTAGACGTGATGTTAGTGCCTTGAAAGTTTCCTTAAAAGGTGTCTGTAGAACAAGAGGGCGACAAGACCGATTTTAGTTTCGGACATAATCCACCTCTCTTAACACAATGTTTACAGGCTTAGAAAGTCAAAATCCAGCGGTCCTTCTAAGGCCAAAAAACCCACCTAACTGTCACAATTGTTCTTAAACATTAAATTGAGAAGATGACCTGAAAGCCTATCTGAGCTTCACAAAAAAAAAAAGGCAAGTACTCAAAAGGCAAGACGAGATTAGTTTGATCCAGCTGTAACAATTTTTTTTAAATGCAGCATGTACTGGACGGGTGAGACCGGGCAAGCTCAAAATTACGTATAGCAATACATTTGTTAACGGCACACAGGCAGATTTTAAAGGTGAAGTGTGAGATTTTCACATCACTATGGCAACCCCCAGTCTGCTATTGGTCAGACAAAATGTAGCCCCGCCTCCAAACTCACACCATTGGTGCTCAAACAAAAATATTGCAATTCCATTCAGTGCGCACCTGCAAGAATGCACATAGTGGGGTTAGACCAATCAAAGTGTTAACCCTTAAAAGTTCTGTAGCAAAAGACAAAATAGAAAGACGAAAGCATTATACGGGAAAGCAGCATAAAAAATAAAAACGAGTTTGCATATTACGATTGCATAAGGCTGTGCTGGGCAGATTGTCAAAGGTGCAATATATCCGGTCTTTCTTACTGTCTATTATAGTGCCAAAAGAAAACAGAGAGAGAAATTGAAGAATGTTTGGGTTTGTGAGAAGCACTACAAAAAAAAGGCATTATTAATGACAAATAAAGTCGTACAATAACAGTGGAAACAACAGAGTCTTCTACTCTGTTAACACATTATTGGTCATCAGTCAGTACCACTTGCAATAGGAATGAGAAATGCAGCACAGGTGATTGACCCTCTGATGTCACTCAGAGAACATCACTGCCCTATTTTGGCAGTCCAATCTTCACAGTCACTGTTCGTACAGGTTCTGTACCAGAGCAAAAGCAAGTTATAGGTGAGTCTGGGTCAAGCTTTGGCATACGCAAAAAGGCTCAACGCTCTTAAGTAGGTAGGAAAACCTAATATGGCATAATTTGTACGTCACAGGTTATGGTAGGACTAGCGGAGCTCTTGGAAATGTTACATTCAGGGCTCAAACCAGACTGGTAAATTGAGGAATCGTGAAAGCAGGACTTCTCTCTCCTGTTTCAAAGAGTTTTCCACAAAATGCACATCCAAGTGGGCTAACAAAGGAACATGGAGGGGAGGGACAGGAGAGGCAGTGTAAACATTGAAGAGAGAGGCGTTTCATTTGGCAGATAATGAGGCTTCTCAAAGGAGGTAGTGGGCTGAGGGCACTGGGAGGCGAAAGACAAGGTGGTGATGTTTGGGGAAGACAGGGCTGACTGGGGTTTATGTGGGCGCAGAGGCGCTTTCCTGTGAGTTAGTCCTGTATGAGCCTTCCTCCAGTGCCCCCCTCCTCTCCTCTCGGCTGTCCCCTGTGGACACACCCATCGGGGGCTTATGTACAGTTACTGAGGCCTGGGCAAGGATGGAAGAGTTGGATTCCTCCCCATCCCAAAATGACCTGCCCGGGACATCTGAGACAAGAAAAATAGAGATTGTGAAAATAGGCACATGCCCTAGCTCAGCTCCAAACATGGAAGAATATGGTTTGCTTGGTAATAGGATATTAGACTGAAATAAGGTGCATTTTTAAATGTTCATTTATGTATGTAAGGTGTTCATCTCACCAGTGCTATAGCGCTGTGACGCCGGTAGTCGTGGTTCATGGTCAGTGAGGAACACAGAGGCGTTCTGCTGACTTATAAAACTCTCCAGTGCTGTGTCCGTGTGCTCGGTGTGCTTATCCCGCTCTTGATGGCCGCTCTGGTGTCCGTCCCGAGAGATCTGAGCCACAAGTGGGTCGTCCTCTGTCAGGTAGGCGTATGGACAGTACTCACGCGTGCGCGAGTAGATATTGGCGTTGTCGTAGCAGTCTGAGCAGATGACTAGAGGGCCAGCTCCCCCTAAAAAGAAAAACAGGAGTCAGGATGGTCGACTGGTGAGGCAAAAAGCCGACTATGTAATGGCATGAATGATGACACAAAATTCCTTTTTAAGCAAATAAATAATAAAAATGTATGAATTCAAAATGTAACGTTACCATTGGGGACATTTGCCTGTCCCTCTCTGGGTTCACTCCGGTGGAAGCTGCTACTTCCAGCAAAGAAAGAGCCCACATGACTACCCAGCATTCCATTAGCGTCTGGATCAACATCACTGCTCACTTCACCGTAACATACTCCTGTTGAAACACATCACAACATGCATCCATTATAATGACTCGTCTAGAGACTTAATGAGTTGTAAAATTTGATCGGTTTTATTTTACAGCCTTTATGAAGAAATAAACTCTTGCTAGAGGAGCAGAACATGATATTACCATCAGTGCCTTTGTGGACATAACCGTTAGCATGAGAGGGCATGAGCTGCTGGTGGCTTCCGTTCTCTGAGTTACTGTATCCCTCCTGAGGCTCTGACAGCGTACCCTGAGACGAGAGGTAACTGGGAATGTCTGCTGGTAGGTTCATCTCATCTGGAATACACAACAACAAAAATGTATACATTACACTTGTCATTTTTGTGCATAAATTTGTAAGATTGTTACAAACTGTTATAATGCCCTTTCAATAGCATGGTAGAGCTGTTGCATTTATTGTGTAAAATCCTGATTGTGAACTTTTGAGATAATATAATATACTAAATAATATTATATTCAAACAATCTGGGTAAAAAAAAATGTGAAAGACTATTAAACCTTAACCAATTTAAAGCGGATTAAAAAGACATTTATTCTTAATATTAAAATATTTACAAAACTTAAGTAAATAGTATTTATTTAAATCATATTATATTTAATGAATATAATATATTTAAATAAAGTATATTATATTTTATTAAGTGTATTATTTATGTTATTCTACCCAGTGCAATTTTTGTTAAACAATTTTTTTATAAGAAATCATGTTTATTCTTACTAACATGAACAAAATAGGCTATTAGAGGTGGGAGAAAAAATCGATACAGCATAGTATCGCGATATTTTCTGTGGCAATACTGTATCGATACACGGGCGCCAAGTATCGATCTTTTATTATTTAAATTAGCTACACATGAGAATTTAACTTTGGTAGTAGAGTAGGGGTGGAACGGTACATGTATTCGTATCGAACCGAAACGGTACGGGCGTCACAGTTCGGTGCACCAATTTGCACGGAGAATACACGGCACAAAAGAAAACCTCTTAAATAGCGATAAATTTCGCTTTATTCGCTTTTGGTGTGACTGTGAACGCAGCAATGAACAGGCTGCGATTAGGGCTTGACCCGAATATTCGAATATTCGTTCGGTGGGTTGGTATTTGATTTGAAAATGTGACATTCGAATATTCTCTTTTTTTTCTGCACATCTGGCATCCCCCTCGAAACGGTTTTCATTCGGCTTGAATATGTTTTACACTCTAAAATCTGGTGAAACATAATACTCAACATAACTTAACATAGCTACTTAATAAATATATTTGCTTCTTCTTGGACTACTAAAAGTGTTCCTGCAACGGGAGTATTCTCTGGCTAAAGCGCAGAACAGCGGAGTGTGTGGACAGTGCATGCCTGAGCTTGTATTTTGGGTTAAGCTGCGTTGCTTTGACATTGTGGAAAATAGAATAATAGAAACAAAATGTATTATCCTTTTTACCCGTTATCATCAATCTAAATTAATCTACTGCGAAATATAGGAGACTTTGAGATTTTACTGGGACGTCACAATTTCGTTTTTATTTATTTAAATTTCGTTTTTCTATATTTAAATTTCGTTTTTATTTATTTAAATTTCGTTTTCATTTATTTAAATTTCGTTTTTATTTATTTAAATTTCGTTTTTATTTTATTTTTATTTAAATTTAGTTTATTTAAATTTCGTTCTTATTTAGCCTATTTAAATTTCGTTTTTATTTTTTATTTATTTAAATTTCGTTTTTATTTAATTAGGATGAACGTTTGGATGAACGGTTCTCGAAATTATCAAAATGCAAACGGACAGACAGACATAGGGCCTGTTCACATGTCGCGTCTTTTGCGCGCTCAAGTTCGTTATTTCAAATGCTCATAATGGAATTGACCGTAGCGACGCGGTCGCGGTGCTGCGCGCTTGTTTTTCCAAGCGCGTCCGCGCCGCATCGAGATAAAAACATCTCAACTTTTCAGAATGCCGCAAGCGCTTTGATTGCTTAGCAACAACAGACTCCTCCGGAGCGCAACCGGCCTAGCGCTTTGGGAAAAGGAGAACGCAGCGCGCCTAGCGTTTTCTACGGGTTTTTAGGCGCTATGTGAATGGCTATAGAGATTCCGAAGCTTCGAATATTCGATGTTCATTACTACCGAAGCTTCGAAGCTCAAAAAATGGTATTCGGACCAGCCCTAGCTGCGATCAAGATTGCAATGCTGGAGTGTGTGTGTGTGTGTGTGTGTGTGCGAGAGAGAGAGAGGCGCGGGCGCGAATCGCGCGATCAAACAGTGTGTGTGTGTGTGTGCGCGCGCGCAAGAGAGAGAATGATCTCTCCTGAGCGATCGAACAGTGGAAACATAAAAACATACTCCGTCATTTTTTTTATACAGGACATCATTAAAACTGCAAATTGTTACTTATATTTGTGTACACTCGCAATAAAACACTACATTGTGCTTTTGTCACACTCTAAACTCTTGTCGAACTGTAACCTACAACTGTTAACAAAAGTTTTGAATGGTAGAATTATTTTATACGGAAATCAACTATTTATAATTCAGATGCGAATAAAGTTAGGGTTAACTAAAATGAAGGAAAACAAATATATTGATCTGAAATAGCAAATTAATTTTAAATTCATTCAGGTACAATTACCAAACATATCTCAAGGTCTTTTCATCTTTTTAATAATTTAATTAATAAACTAATTATATAAAACTATTGTCAGTGCACTACAAATAAACTGGTTCTATGCCTTTATTAATAAAACTTATTTAAAAAATACAAGGCTTAAGACATTTATAAAAATGCCTTAAGCATTTTTGTTTTGCTTTACACTCCATTGTACCGAAATCATACCGAACCGTGACGTCTGAACCGAGGTATGAACCGAACCGTAACTTCTGTGTACGGTTCCACCCCTATAGTAGAGTGCGTGTCTTCGTGAGTGTTCAGCGGTGCCGCGTCTTCTATCTCTTCTGTCAAAATGTGTTGTGCAAGGCAAGCATCAAGCGCTGCGGCGATAATACACACTCGCGTTTAGGAGTCGGGACGTGACGGAATATTCACTTGCACAATCGGGCCAGCAGTGCATCGTCACTGAAGTTTACCATTTGCACGTCTTTTTAAGTCTTACCAGTTTAAACATTCAAGCGATTTTAAACTAATCAGTGTTCGCGCGCTCTGAGATTATTTTCTATGCGCACATTTATAGAAAATCCACCTCAAAAACAGCTGGCCAGTAACAAATGTTATTTTTCGCGGATTGTATTGCTTTAACATGCAAAATTGTGTCAATTTCGGTCTTCGTGAGTATACTCTAAACATAGTCGGTTTTGTCTTTAATAAGCATAAAACGCATGTGACAGTATAATGAACACAGTATCCGTACACTAACTCTTAAAGTGACGGCAGCCATATGTGTCTGTCATTAATTTTGTTGTCAAAAAAACAACAAAAGATAGCTTTAAGTTAAAGGAATCAGGATTAATAGCCTATGTATTTAATTTAGTCAGGACTAAAATACTACCCAGTGTTACTATCTGGGTAGTATACAGTGTTGTATATCCATTTGATTACATTATTCAGTTTCTGTATTTATCAATACTAGTGTTAGACCTATTCAAAAACTTTTCTCTTTATTCGTTATTATTTGTATCTTTATTCTATTGTATTTATTTGTGCTACTTTTTTCAATTTAATTAAACAATTTAAATCAAGATTCCTTGTGTTGTGTAAATTCTTAACAATATTACCCCCATTGTAAAAATTGCAATGAGCGCAAACATTTAGGCGATATAAATGTAATAATTTTGTTTGGAAAAAATGCAAAAATTGAAGTTGAAAAAAGGTAATAAATTGCAATATATTGCAGAATATCGCAATATGTTTAAAATCGAAATAATATCGTATCGTGGTGCCTCTGGTGATTCCCAGCCCTATAGACTATCAAATTGTTAATTTAATTATCTCTGCTAATAATTAGCCAACCAAAATTTCATAATCACAGAAGCCCTACTAGGCATTATTTTTTTATTAATTTTGTCTATCAACTGGACATTACATAACATCTTCAAAAACAAAAATGAGAATAATTTTATATTGTTTATACTATTTTCAGTTTTAAATGTTTAAACTGATACGTGCAGAGCTGTCCACTGACCTGTATTTGTTATGCTGTAGTCTTCACTTTTTCTCCTCATGTGGTAAATGACGATGACCCACACAAGCGAGGTGCCAACAACACAGCAAACGACCACCATCACAACAATGCCAACCGTTGTCCATCCATCCTGACCGTATACGCTGGTCACCGGGTCACAGTTGGCCGAGGGCAAGACGCTGAGGTAGATATGACCGCGCTCTGTGCCCAGCGTGTTGGACATAATACATGTGTATTTCCCTGCATCAGCAGGACCAGCATCAACGATTATGAGGAGCTGATTGGCTGCGGCGAAGAAGTGACGTTCTGTCAGTATTAACGGGGCGTCGTCTTTGGTCCAGTTGAGGCGGGGGGTGGGGCTACCACGAGCTATGCACTGGAGGACAGCAGTCTCACCTCGGGCAACATTACGGTCCTCTAGAGGGCGCTGAAAGGATGGGGTTTCTGTCAAAAAGACCAGATTTTAATTATTAAATACATGATTATCAAATATAAATAAGTCAGAAGAAAACTTTTGGCATTAGATCATTGTAAAATACAATACCTAGCACAGTAAGAGTGGCATTGGCCGACAGGCTGCCCGCCTCGTTTTTGGCCGTGCAGCTATAGACGCCCATATCCTCCGCCTTTACATTAGCAATGAAAAAAGTGTCATCGTCTGGCATGACATGCATCCTTCTTTCACGGGCAGCAGGGAAATTGATACCGCCATCTTTTTGCCATGCGATCTGGGGTGTCGGGTGTCCCTCTGCAGCACACTCCAACCTAGCGACCGTACCGGTGCGGATGGTCAGATCCATGGGTGTCTTCAGGAAGGTGGGGAGCTCTGGGAAAAGCCATTAGTAAGTTATTTTCACTGCTTTACACAGGTTAGTCCAGAAAGTCATACAAATATCTGGACTATTCTCATAAAATTGGACTACAACAACAACATTTTGTAACAAAAAAAGCACCATGGTATTACCATGATTTCTTACAACAGTAATAATTGTAGTAATTTTTCTTTAAAAGTAAGATAGAGTACAACTTAAATATGGTATATAAATATGGTACCATCTTATACCACTAATACTCTTATGTAAGGAAACTGCCAAAATAAAAGCAAGTGTAATACTAACATAAATATTACAAATTTTGAAATCAATCTATGAAATAGAACAGCAAATTCTGCCACATTTTGCCATTCGAAATATGGAGTAAATATGATTATCATTAAGGGCAATTACTATTATTTATTACTTAGTACTTCATTATTATTACTACCGCTATTGCCATTATTATTTATTAACCATTCGTCAAGTGGTCAAGTCAAGTCAAATATATTTATATAAGTGGACTGTGTTTAAAAAATGTGAATATTTTAATACTTAAATATATAATTTAATGTAGGGCTGGGCGATATGGCCAAAAACATTTATCACGATATTTTTTTTTATATCAGTCGATATCGATAATTATCACGATAAATGTCAAATCTTTATTTCTTTCAAGTTTAAAGGCAGATTTTTGCTCCCAAGTGATAGTAGTATCCAGAGCGTTTTGGTTTTAAAAATCTGAGGTAGAACATTCAAACATTTGTCATTTTTCCTTAACAAAATAAATATCTGAAAATAAAAATATTTCTTCAGCACAGTTTGCAGTGCAGGCTGCAATATTCAAATAACATGTTTTGTCTCGAAATGCATATTTGACAGTGAGTTGACAGTAAATCTACATCCTAACTCAAGCTAATGCTACTATGTTAAATTTATGTTCATTAACAAAAACAGTAACATCTGTTTTTTTTTGTTTTTTTAAGGACCACATTTTTATTTGGTAAAATGTAATATTCTGACTGTTTGAGTTTTATTAAAATTAACCATTGGTCATCCAGTATCATGCATTTAGATCATGATAACCACAGATAAAACCAGGCCTAGCCTATAGCACCTCACTATCATGGCAAAATGTCATTTTATTGTTTCTATGGTATTTGTATGAAAAACAGTAGCCTAACAGTTCAATACATTATTAAATACTGTAATTATATTCCATTAGTCATTTAATACATTGTCTACATTAATAATATTATACAATTCAATATGTATATCCCACATTTCATGGTGCAGTTAATATTACTAGGCTAACGTTACAGTAAATCCATGGTAGGCTAAATGGATTCAGTATCAATTCAGATTCTGACTGTTTCGCTGCGCAGTGTTTCTCCTGTTTGTCAGCGGTGTTTCATCTGCCTTTAAACTGATTTAAACTGGACATTTGTGTTCTTCGCTGAACTTAAGCGCTTCTCACTGGATCTCGTGAGCGAGACGATCAGAGTAAACGCGTCTGCTCTAGTGAGCTCGCGCTGCCAATTGGACTTTGAGCCGAACGGATAAACGGTCCATGTGGCGCGCGGTTCAAATGAGTTTCGTTCCGCTTTTGGCGCATACACATTATCGAACATTTATCGACCTCTTGATATCATTTTATCGAGAAAAATTATATCGCGATAGTTATCGTTATCGTTTTATCGCCCAGCCCTAATTTAATGTTATAATTAAACTAAGTATATTATTCTATTTTTATAAAGAATTGTATTATTTATATTACTCTACCTTGTGCAATATTTATTAAAGCCTTAAAATAATATTATGTACGGAAATTTATGTAAGCAAATATAACACTAACAATAAATAACTAATATTATCATAATTTTCAACTTCTGAAATGCAACGAGAATTCATATTTTGAATAAACAAGAAAGACAAGAAAGCCAATCAAAACCATAAATAGAACTGTTTGTTAAAGTGTTTACTTTGAGAATAATGTTTCTGTTATTGGCATTCTATTATTAGGTTACAAATCCAATCCACTCTTCTTCCATTAGCATCATGAACTGACATAAACAGAATAATTACATTGCTGAGGTCGGCATCCCAGAGGGCTGCTATGTTTGTTCAACGGACATGGAAAATTAAAAATGGACAGAGCTCCGAAAACAACCATGGAGAAATGAGGGGAAATAAGGGGAGGGGAAAAAACAATGCCAAACAGCTTATCAAAGCATTTGGAAAGATCATAGTGCTTTAGCAATACGCCAATAAAGACTACTTAAACCGTATCACATTTAAAACGGACCAAAAGAAGACATTTATTCTAAATATTAAAATATTTACAAAATTTAAGTAAATAGTATTTATTTAAAGGGGTGGTTGATTATGATCTCACTTTTCTAACTTTAGTTAAGTGTGTAATGTTGCTGTTTTCGCATAAACAACATCTGCAAAGTTACAATGCTCAAAGTTCAAAGCAAAGGGAGATATTTTCTTTAAAAGAAATTGCTTTTTAAACACTCTGGGCTTCTTCGGTCAAAAATGACCGAAACAGTATACGTTTTGAAATGTTTAATTTTTTTGCTTCATCGGAGGGGGATGAAACTTGGTGACTTTTGTTGTATTACCTATGTGAACACACAAAAAAATCAAGGAGATGATTCGGATATGTTAAAGGGTCGTAAAAAAAATAGTCACACTTAGCTTCCTTTCGGTCAAAAATGACCGACAGGAAATTAATGGGAAATACGAAAAAATAGGAAAACTCAGAGAAACTTTTGGTGGTACAAACTACAGATCAGCCACTGTGCAGAAAAAAAGTGTACAGCAATGAAGGGGTGACACTCTAAAACATCAAGAGTGCAAATAAGACACCTCCCCCCCACACACACACACCCACGCACACAAACACACACACACACACAGAGAAATGAATAGGAAAGACTGTAACAGCAAATGTTGAGAAAATGCTAAATAAAATCAAAAATTAAAATAAAGTACAAAAGATAGGCTACTCTTTCTCGCTCAAATGCACACACACACACCTCATCATGTCTAAAACAACAATATGAATCAAAAAGCCTTTCTATGTATTTATATAGGAAGCCTACAGGCGGTTACGGACATTACACACATTTATACATTTTTACTTATCTAAAAAAAAATAAAAAAAGTAGTCTTTTAGCATATCTAAATATATATCTAAATAAAAAAAAACGAATAAGAGAGAGAAATCATGTCTAAAACAATAGGAATCAAAAAGCATTTCTATGTATTTACATAGGAAGCTATGGGCAGCCTACAGGCGGTTACGGACATTACACACTTTAAAACATTTTTAAAGCCACTGGATGGCGGTATTCTCACTTTTTTTGCCTGCTGCCAGCATTATATTTTAATGTGCCACATTGAGTTTTTTTATTTATTTATTTTTATATAATAATAATAATAAATAAATAAAAACTTTCTAATGGAAAAAATAGCTCGTAAAAATTATATAAATAATGCAAAGTATCATAAAAATCTTTAAAAATTCTAAATAATAATAAGAAAATATTATTGAACAAAAATATATTTGAATGGTTTTCCTGGGGGGAAAAAAAGTTACATTTTAAGGCTTCGGTCTTTTTTGACCGAAAGGAAGCCAAGTGTAACCCCTAAACAAAGAAGCCCAGAGGGTTAAGGACTACAGCAAATGGCTGGTAGGGACTACACGACATTCCTCCCAGGTTAGTGACATCACCAACCCCAATATTTACATAAACCCCCGAAACACGATTTATAGATTTTCAAGACAGAATGTGCTAATCAATGACTAGAAGATAACTACACATAAGCTACCTAAATTAATCAACTAACCATTCACAAATGTTGTCTACGTGTCACTTCTTCTTGAGTCTCTCCATCTTTTTGACTCCGGTTTGAACATAAAAGGCTAAAAGTTTGTGAAATTTTCAGTGCATGTCTGTGTGAGTTAATCAAAGCGGCTAAGGACAAGAGCTCTTGAAGCTCCGCCCCCTGTTCTAGAATCAGCAGCTCATTTGCATTTAAAGGGACAGACACAAAACGAGGCGTTTTTGCTCACCCTGAAAAAGTGACAACTTTAACATGCTATATAAAAATATCTGTGGGGTATTTTGAGCTAAAACTTCACATACACACTCTGGGGGACATCAGAGATTTATTTTACATCTTGTGAAAAGGGCATTGTACCACCCCTTTAAATTATATTTAAATTCTATAATATTTAATTAATGTAATATATTTAATTAATGTAATATATTTAAATAAACATTAAGCACGTCCCGCTCTTTATATTCTCATTCATGCATTTCATCTCTCTGAAGTGTTAATAGTGCTATATATTTACATACCACAATATAGAAAAATCTCTAACAATAGACATTTTATACCGCGGTAACAATATATATAGTCATACAGACCAGCCCTACTCTAGACCCGTAGGAATATTGTAACAATCAATTTCCATGAGGCACTAACCATTAACAGTGAGCTTGGCCACAGTGGAGTAGTTGGAGCCAAAATGGTTTGAGACCACACACTGGTACTGGCCCTCGTCGGTGAAATTGACGTTGAGCAGGTGGAGTACGGTGGTGTAGAGAAGGAGCTGATCCTGGTACCGAGCGTAGTTCTGCACCTGAGCTTCATACAGCACCTCTCCGTCTTTGCGCCAGGCGGTGCTCATGGGAGAGTCGCTGCTGCTGAACGCAGAGCAGTTCAGAGTGATGTTGGTCCCGCGTAAGGCCACAACGGTCTTGGGGTGAGCGCTGATCTGGGGTTTAGGGAAGTCATCTGCAAGTGAGACCAAAATAAAGAGATCTTAATCCAAGATATAGCTAATACTTTTTATATCTAAAGTTTTACTTCTTAATCATAAAATTACTTTTATTTAAATGGCACAAGACACACCACAGTAGCCAAAAAGGTCAAAGACATTTCATTAGAGTGCTGTGAAAAGTGTTTTTGTAAGAGAACGCATGAGGTAAATGTCAGGTCACTCACTGCAGACAAACTCCTCCGGTTTAACAACAAGCACACTAGATCCTGCCAGGGATGCGGGATGAGCGCAGATGGCGGTGCAGGATTGCTGGAAGTGGCTGTCATTCAACCACTGGCCCAACCACTGCAGCTGACAGTCACACAGGAGACTGCTGGTGTTCAAATCACTGAGGAAGACCACGATACATGCATGATTGAGAATACAGGTGAAAAACATCATACTAACATACAGACAAAAATGCAACAAAAATATATTATGTAAAATGCATAGACACCGAACATACGTGAAATACATACAGTCTGTAGAAAAAAAACAATCACTTACAGTGTTTTAAGTTTTAAATGAGTGAAAGCGTCAGGATGAATAGACATGATGCCATTCTTACTCAGGTCCCTGTAGAACAAATTCAAAAAGATTATTCATATGGGAACAGTACAAAAGAGGAGGTCTTTGTGTTGTGTTGAATAATAGAAAGGATTAGATTATATTGGACTTTACTGCTGTCATTGTCTTTACATTGCAACGGCACAAATGCAAATAGGAACAATATAACAGCATTACCTTATAAATCTAAAATCCATAACCTAGAATCTTTAACAACCAATAGACATAATCAGATATATTGGTGAATGAAATGTTATTAGCCAAATTCAGATTAAAAAAATGTTATGGGGTCAGAGTGTAAAAGGGTTTAAAATGTTATACTTTTTTTTTTTTTTATTAAGTTTTGATGCTCAATTTCAATTGAATCAAGTAAAAGTATAGCTTTATGGAACCATGGCAGCCTATTTCTGCCTAAGAGTTAAAAAGGGCTTTTTACCTCACAATTGACCGTTCGCAAAAGCCACGCCCCCTAGTTATTGTTACTACGCCCGTCAAACAAATGGTCAAACACGACCAGCGCGACAGATTGCCATGACGGGAAGAGGTATACCCGTGCGTGTCAGTGACCCTTTTTTGGAGCAATACCTCCGCGATATCCTCCAGATCGGGACACAAGGGGTTACAGTATGCAGTGGAGGGATATATTCAAAATATAAAATTACGCAATGAAGGAGACACGACTACTATCGACTCGAGGCGAATGCCGGTCTCAAGCTAAATCTGAGAAACCCCATGACCTGTAACGTTACCTCAAATGCAACCAGCACAGCCTTGAAGAAGATTTTATAAGCTGGTTCAGTGGCTAATGCTTGGAGTTAGAAATATATAACTCGCGCTGCATATTTAGTAATTTTGCCTCAGATACAGGATTAACAAATTCGCTTTAACAAGCAGGTTGTTCATTACCACGGCAACCGCTTGCGTGTCATGCGATTTTCGTGTTTAAAAAGTAACTATACATAAGAGACGGAAAGATGCAGATAACCATACATTATTTAAGGTTATTTCTATTCGTTACGATATTGATATATGAACTGATGTTGTCAAGTAAGCTTCATGCTTTCCCCGTTGCGAGCGTGCACTCCTCTAAACTGTAAGTTAGTCTACGGGTGCTACATTGCTAGTGACTGCTGCTCATTTCCCCCCGAGAATATCATGTTAACAACAACCCTTTAGAAAACGTAATTCCTTTGTGGATCCTCTTGATCTGCTTTCTCCATGTTTCTTTGACTAATCTCAGTGTCTCAGTCTCACGCACGCTGCACGCGAGTTAACCATGTTCGACACATTTAACTGGGAGTGGGGCCGTCCACACTGTTTTATCCATTGTAGGCACCGCTCACGTTGTGTTTTCGGCTTTGGAAACGGAAAGAACAACTCCTCCAGACAATCTCTCGGGGTACCTATTGTCCGATTTACAAACGCTGTGGGCGCACCGCTTCACCATCTTGCTTGGAGTCAATGCTTGACGGACCTGCTCCCATAGTAATGGTTGCTATGATGTGTGATTGGACAATGGCCGTTTTGTGGGAGGGGCTTGCGAACGGTCAATTGCAACTGTATTGCTTATAACTGTGACTTTGAAATATCACAGTTTAAATTTAAAGTCTGCATGACATGAAAATTATATTTGTTACAGAGTTTCCACTAGAAAAAAATGGTGCCGGTCAAAGTGACCGGCAGAGGTTTCGTTTACGGACATTTTGATGATATGCCCGTCAAATATCGCCTCTTAATTAGTCAAGTTGAGGAAAACTGGAGGCAGGCTATGTAACTTAAAAAATGACATAATCAGGCCGTATAGAATGCAACGTGTTATTATTAGCCTAACTTTCAAATAGACGGAAAAAAACATGAAAGTCCGATTGGCGTCAATCAACACCAATTGTTTTTTACTATGGTTTCACACACATTCACTTTTTGAAACATTAGGCACGGATGTACCTAATACAAATAAATAAAACATCTCCAGTTAACTAGCAGATCGTTCATTTAGTTCGCTATTAAATAAGAGATCTAGCACTAAAATCAGTTGTTTTTGAAATCAAGCTGAGCGCTCGTGTCCGCTGCTATCAGTTGCAAGGACGACGCGCTGCGCGAATTGCGCAATCTTCACTCGGACGCGCGTTTCAATCTATCGCCGTTGCGGACAGGCGAATAGAGCAGGCAGCACATACAATTTATACAAGACGAAATAAACTTTAAAGAAAGGCTTTACAAAACTTAATAAGTGGTCAAAATCTGACCCATTCCAAATGTTTTCCGATATATTCCGGTCATCTTATGATCCTATCTTACTCATCTCATGCGGTTCTCTTTTCATATAGGCTAATCAACATAGATGAAATAAAAAAAAGAATAACATTATATTATTTATAAATATGAAACGTATGTTTAAGTTTTTTAACTTATAATAAGCGTCACACCGCTCCGCTTTGCTCACATGCTCTGGTGTGTAGCCTAATGCATGTGTGCGTGCATGTGGTGGAGAGGGGTGCGATTTTCGAATAATAATCAACCCAGCGATCTTCGAATATTATTTTTGCTTGAAAATTTCGTTTTGTATAAATTGTATCTTAATTTTAATCAATGTTTCATCAACAAATTTGCCTGGATTAGTAAATAAGAATCAAATATAGTGGACAATATACCGTATTTTCCGCACTATACGGCGCACCGGATTATAAGGCGCAACTTCAATGAATGACCTATTTTAGAACATTTTTCATATGTAGGGCGCACCGGATTATAAGGCGCATAAGATACTGCAGTCAAACGTTTGACTGGGTTTGCGTTATGCATCCACTAGATGTCAACAAATGTCAACAAAACAGTCAGATAAAGTCAAACTTTATTAAGCGTTCTGACAACTCCTTTCACTCCCATGGTAACGTTCAAACGTTAAAGGAAAACTCCGGTCAATTTTAACATTGAGCTCATTTTTTGTAAATTTGGAGTGCTGTCAGTACAGATAACAACGACAAAAACCGGTGTTGCCTACACCGTGTTATCCTCTTTTTAAAATTTGCACCCTGTTGACTTAAACGGGAAAAGTTTTAAACCTGCTTTTAGCCTCTTAACAACCTTAATGTGTCATTACAAGTGCACAGCCATGTGAGTGAACACGGTGAATCTGACTGCAGTAAATGTGAAAGATATGAATAAAAATGATGTTTATTCAGCCAGCTCACATACCCGTATTTTCTTCCTGTTTTCGGTCGAAGTCCACAGTAGGCGAATGTCGAGTGCGCGCGCGTGCGATCATTGGTAATTAAGCAACAGTGGAGACTCAGCCTGTCAGCTGTCAGCCGATGACGGTGCTGTGTGGTGTGCTGAGAATATCAGCTCAAATGGATAGTTCATCCGAATCAGATGTTGAACACACGGAGGAGGTTTGATCGCGCGCGCGCGAACTCGACAATCAACTACTGTGGACTTCGGCCGAAAACAGGAAGTAAATACGGGTATGTGAGCTGGCTGAATAAAGAGATTATTCCTGTCTTCGTGAAAGCTCGGATCACAGCTGAGACTGATATATCAGCCCAGGCATCCACGATCCATTGCCAGATAGTGGCGTAAGTCGCCCAGCGCTGTCTCCTCGTCTTGGTGAACTTGTGTTCACCATCCATATATAAGGCGCTCCGCATTATAAGGCGCACTGTCGTTTTTTGAGAAAATTAAAGGCTTTTATGTGGGCCTTATAGTGCGGAAAATACGGTAATCAGGACGGAGTCGCCGGCGCGTGCACCCTTCTCTCTATAGGCGCGTTCACTACTGCGAAGATGGCGAGTCTGCATCGTCAACTTTATCAATTTATCAATAATTCAAATGTTTCATGCATAGGCCTAATCATTACTTTCGCCGGTTTTGTGTCAAGCTTTATTTCAGGTGTTGCGTGATATCTCTGCGCCCAAGTATCAGTGCTTCGCCTGTGCTTCCAAAAATGCATTTGCCCACCTATCTATATGTAGGGGAGACCGTGAATAACTCCAATTTTTTTAAAACGGTGGAGTGTTCCTTTAAGGCTAGCCTGCCTGGGCCTGGCCACATCTGAAACATCTCACTCAATCGTTCGTTGTTTAGGTCTATATTACAGCCGTTTTAGGCGTGCGCTTTATTTGAAATGCAGCATGCAATGTTGTTTATTAACTTTCAAACGGTAGAGGCTGTTCCTTTATAACATAGCCAAAAGTCGGTGTATTTTTACTTTATACATTTTAGGCTTATTCTCAAATAAATTCAGATTGTGTTAGGGGGGCGGGATTATTACGCGATTTTAATCGGACAATTTGACTGGAGAGATTTAATTTTGTCGGACATTTTATTTCTTCCCCGGCCAATGTCCGGTAATTACCGGACAACGGAAACCCTGATTTGTTATATTAAATGCATGCATTATATCTTTGTGTGAACAATTCATCTGTGAATACGTTTCATTTAAAAAAAAATGTTTTGACCCTTTAATGTTTTTTTTAAATGTCAAAAATGGACCTCCCAGTGAAAATAAGACTTCTTTCTGGTGACATATGCAGAACAATATCTGGAATGATTTCTATATTACTGCATCTAGTAACAGAAGACATGACGTTCCCAAAATACTAAGGGCCAAAAGAGAGACTCACAAATGCTCCAGCTCCATCAGACCCTCGAATGCTTTCTTAGTGATGGTCCTGATTTTATTATTCTGTAAAACTCTGGAAAACACAGACACATGCTCATGTCAAACCACACTTCACATCTCAGAGTCAGATCAAACTGTTCATATTCACTAACAAACTTACAGTGAGTTCAGCCTCTTCAAGCCCACAAACATGCCAATGAAGTCCTCAATGGCGAGGGATATCTCGTTATTACGGATGTCCCTGGCATGAAAAAAAAAAGAAGAAAAAAAAAAAAACAGAGAACCATTAGAAAGTTAGCAAACTTCCACCTGCTGCTGAGTAGAATATTTTCTGTAACCTAAAATGTCAGAGCTGCTTTCTTTAGGAGATTGTACTTCTATATACAGATAATTATGGTTCTACGGCTCTAGGGAAGCTCAGAATCATTGTATGCTTATCAAGTATAATAGGGGGTTTTGTACGGACTGGCTGGTATGTGGGAGAATTGTGAGATAATCTTCACGCACTACTGGCTGTAAAAAGCTGTCATCGCTTTATAATTGTGCCAAAGGGACGAGGCTGAGGATACAAGAGGTGGGCAGGTTTGAATGCGCTGAAACGCAGAAACTAAACTAAAAGGACTTATATAGGGCTTAAACTAAATGGATAGACTATATTGTTTGCAATTATGGGCTCATCTTATTTTATAGAGATATGCTACTTCCATTTTCATTCAATCTGTTGTACACATTAACACACCTGTCTACATTTGAGAGCAAATATGCGATAAATTACAGAAAAATCAGCAATCATTTCAAAATCAGTACATCATAATTTTTAAGCAAAAGGGTTTATGAACTTATTGCTGCCCCCAGTTACATTAAATTATAACTGACATAAAAAAATATATATTTATAATTTTATTGTGAAATGAAAATGAAAAATAAATGAAGACAAAAGCCAAATTTGTTAAATACCAATTGAAGTGACTAAAGTGACATTTTTGAAAATAACACATTTAACCTTTTCATTGGCATCATTCCCATTAAAGGAAACTTGCAGAACCTAAACATAGGAGCCTGATAAAAAATTTTTTTTGCTAATTTAAAAGAAAAATTTAAGACAGACTTTGAAGTCTTTAAATGTTAACTCTGTTTTGTGGCTAAAAATATAATGTCCAATTTTTTTTTTTTGTAGTGGGACAAGTAAAAATGTTAGGAGGGCCAGTACAAATCTGGACAACTTTCCTGACCAGCACAGCAGGAAAAAAAGATGAATGCTGCATGTTGTATATAAACTACAGACTTATTTAGTGTTACCGAAGACCTGTATAATGTGAGAGACAAAAGCGGGATGTGGTTTATCTTACAATGTACGGGCGTTAGTCAGGCTGCTGAACACTCCTTCCCCCAGGTGTGTGATTTGATTGTCACCCAAGTTGAGATTCTGCAAGAGACTGAGACCAGCAAACACCCAGTCCTCCAGACGACTCAAGTGATTGAAAGACAAATCCCTGGAAACCAAACACACACACACACACGCATTAATCTAGTGGCAACAATCAAATTCAACACCTCGAGAAAAAACACCCAGAAAATAACGACTGACCAAGCATTAAAAAAAAAAAAAAAATTGCATTACATTATTGCATATAGGATAAATGTTTAAGGACAGGGGCTGAAGTCACTCACAATTCTTCCAAGCGATGGCAAAACTCCCAGGCATCGGCTCGGATGAGTCCGATATTGTTCTGATTGACCCGCAGAATCCTTAGCATGTGCAGTCCATACAGCCAGCCCTTATTCAGCTCCGTCAAATTATTATACTCCAACTCTCTGGAAAAGGACACATCATGTGGAACAGAAACTTAATAATAATTTAGCTAAATTAAACAACAAAAAAGAATCAACCCCTCCACTTTAAGTTGATGTATGGTTTAAAATAAAAATACTACTAAAACCAAGTCTCATTTAAATATATAGGGGTGGGCGATAGGGTAAAAATATCATATCACAATATTAATTAATCACAATTCTTTTTCATGTTGGTTTTAAAGACTATTTTGCATTCGAACTGTTTACAAGATATAAATGAATGTTTATGTAAACGTGTGTATTTGACAGTTTATGCGCAAAAAGATGTGAAAGAGAACTTAGTTCAGTACTAAGTATATATAAATTATATATATATATACACAAACACAGACTTTTTAGCAATATTTTAAGCATTTTAATTATTTATAAAGTCATTAATTGCTCTAAAATGGCTTAAAGGGTGTGTTTTTTCCCCCCAGAGGAACAACCACTTAAAATGATTGCCAAGTTGTTTAGTGTGTAGGTAGTAAATTATAGTTAAGATGTCTATAAAACAAATTTAAACGCTTACAAATATAGTAATAATTAAAAATAAATAATGTAAAACCCTGATTGCATTGACTCACAGCTCCTCCATGTTTTCCAAACCAAAGAGAGCTCCATCCATCAGCTTTGTGATGCCGTTACGCTGCATCTTCAACGATTTAAGAGCCTTCAGTTCTTTAAAAATAAGACTTTCCACCACACGGATCCTGTTGCGCCTTAACTCTCTGAAAAAAATGACGAAAACATAGAGAGGCACATTATAATAAGAACGTCTAAACCATGGCGCTAACAATCAGAGAGAGACAAGAAGACAAGGAAAAAACTCCCCACTTGATAATATCAGTTGCATTTAGCAAGCAGTAATTCTGTCAGATACAATCTAATTGAGCACTGCAATAACATCCAATTAATTAGCCATGAACACTCACAAGACTTGGAGCTGAGACAGGGTGAAGACTTTATCAGGCAGCAGAGAGAGTCTGTTCTGGTTTATCTTCAACACCAGAAGGGAGCTGATGTTTCCAAAACAGCCAGGCTCTAAGGAACTTATCTTGTTTTTGCTCAGGTTGCTGTTGTGATGGAGAAAGGAAACAGACAGTTATCCATAAACCTCAAAAGGAATCAGAAACTCCAAGAAAAACAAATTATTTAATGACAAAGTAAATATCAAAGCAACAACTGACGACATATAAAGGTTTAGTTCACCCAAAAATAAAAATGCTGTCATTAATTACTCACCCTCATGTTGTTCCAACCCTGTAAGACTTTCGTTCATCTTCTGAACACAAATTAAGATATTTTTAATGAAATCTGAGAGCTGTCTCACTCCTCCATAGGCTTCTAGGCAATTTCATTCTGCCGGCCCAGAAAAGTTAGTAAAAACATTGTTAAAATAGTCCAAGTGACTACAGTGGCTCAACCTTAAGTTTATCAAGTGACGAGAATACTTTTTGTGCGCAAAGAAAACTAAAATAATGACTTTATTCAACTATTCATTTTCTTCAGTGTGGGCACGAGAGCGCCACAACGCATGCGCAAGAACTGAGAAGATGACGCTCTCGATCATTTGATGGGAAAGTGTGAAAGGTAAGCCATTCATTTTGCAGCATTGGTAAGGCACTTTTACGTTTCCTCGTTGGATGGATTCTCACGATTCGGACATCCAGGAAATGCACACTTTAGAACCATTTTAAACACTACATCGAGACTCATCTGCGTCATCTTCTCAGTTCCCGCGCATGCATCGTGGCGCTCTCGTGAACTCACGTCAGAGGCCCACACAGAAGAAAATGAATTATAGTTATTTTTGTTGTTTTTTTGCGCACAAAAAGTATTCTCGTTGCTTATTTACTAACAATGTTTAACTAACTTTTCTGGGCCGGCAGAATGAAATTACCTTGCAGCCTATGGAGGAGTGAGACAGCTCTCAGATTTCATCAAAAATATCTTAATTTGTGTTCCGAAGATGAACGAAAGTCTTACGGGGATGAAACAACATGAGGGAGAGTAATTATTGACAGAATTTTCATTTTACGGTGAACTAACCCTTTAAGTGGTCACACTGTCCTACTGAAGTGTAGAAGATAACTTCTTTAGATAACTCTCTTTAACTACTTAGAAGTTCACTACCGTCTTACAAAAAGTGGACAATTCAGACAAGCCTGAGTACAAAAACCTGGGTAAAAAATTAAAAACTCACAGGTATTTCAGCTGCATGGGAGGGAAAGATCCAGCCTTAAGCTCAGATATAGAATTAGAGCTCAAGTCCAGACTTTCCAGAGATGAATATGGCAACAGCTGCTCTGCCATAACTTCAGAGATTCGGTTATGAACACTGAAAATAAACAACAGATGGTTATAGATGTACTATATGATCACACACTTATTGAAATGTAAAATAGTAAACAATCACTCAATCCATGTACTGTTACATTTCAGTAGCCTAGCCGTGTCTTATTTATTATCATCTTGTTTATTTTAAGCAACTGGAGCAATTTCACCAGCTATAAACTGCAGTAAAGAGTGAAAAAGGATGAACGTAGAAGTTAACTTACAGTGACAGCACAGTAATGTTGGACGAGGCATCTCCAAGAAAAGGCACCGCTGTAAGTTCGTTATGATTCATAGACCTATATTCACACAGAGTGAATTATTAAAACCTGAAAAAGCAGTCACCGAAGAAGAAAAAACTTTACAGAACAATTTAGCCCATATAAACCTGAAAACTGAGGAAAATGACTAAAGGAATAGCAAAAGGAATATCTGGTTGTATTCATATACAAAAAAAGTAATATGCCAGCAAGTGTGTAACCAAAAATATTTAAGACTGGGGGTCAAATGTCAAGTCTATAATTTGCACCCTCAGTTCAGATTTGGTAAAAAAAAATGTATGGCAAGGTAGTTAAACGCATAGGTACCTACAGTAAACCTCAAAACGTACTCTTTACACTACAGTTCTCTCTAAAATCCAGTTGAATAAAACATATAGTCTGTCATATGAAATAATAGTCAGAAAAACGTAATATTTTGAACTGGAACAACCTATTTAGACAAAACATTAAAGAAAATCTAAGTTTCCATTCGTGTTTTGTATAATTTTCATCAGTCTTTTCTGGCTTATATACTGTAGTATGATATAGTAAGAATATGGAGCTCATTCTCGCGAAGGAAACCCCCTTAATGTTATTCAGAGGCCAAAACTGAGCGGGAAAATATGCAATTTGGTCCAGATGTTGTTATTTATATACCTAAAAATAAAGATGAAATAGCTTATAAAGTAAACCAATTACAACACAAGATTTGATAAAAAGCAAATAAATACTACTATATGGAATAACTGTCAGTGGTGCGTTAGTATTGTGCACATGTGCAGCCCTGCAGGAGGATGACCATCAGGCAATGTAAACAACATCTCCTCTATTACTCACGCATGGGTGATCCAGGCTGGAGCTTCCAGAGCCGCAGAAGTCAGTCTTTTCCTATTGCAATCCAGCAGTTGAGCTGCACCTGGACCATCAGAACACGTACAGGGAGAAGGGCAAGTGTCCAGGCCCACGACACTCACTATGAGTAGGAACAGGGCCTGGGGGATGGGCCAGGCCTCCGCCATTTTGAGTTTCTTGATCACAAATGATCAATCCAAATTATGGCATCAATGAGACACAGAGATTAATCTGTGATTTAGAATATACATCTGATTTCATATAAATCCGAATTAAGCTGAAAAGCATAAAATCAATCCGGAGCCATCACTTTGCTCCCTTCGAAATTCCCTTCTTCCGCCTTACAATCTCTGCAGCTTCAAGAATTCCCAAACGGAGCGTCAAACAAGCTTCAAGATGTGGAAATGTGGCTCAGATATCCCAAAAGAGTTCATGGCCTATATTAGATTAGGACTTTGCATTTGAAGAAAATATATGATAGAACTGAAAAATCGCCTTTCCAAACATTGTTCCTCGACTTTTTTCCCAAGGAAAAACAAAAGCATCTTCTTCCGTTGACACGTGAGCCACCCCTCTGCCACGTGCTGCTGGAGGCCTCACGTCATTGGCCAGTCGACAAATCCATCAAACTTAGATTTTTTTCCACATTCTTTCTAAGTTTTTTTGTTTTAAAACAATTATTCTAGTGGTTATCCTTTCAATTTGATTGCGTCTCTATAATTATTTATTTAAAACTATGAGGTTTGCCAGATTTTCTTTAAGCTTGAACCCTACCCAGAACTTCAACTTCCCATCTGTAGTTATTAAAACGGGTTAAAATGTACTTAGCACTTGTAAGAATGTAAATATAAATCATATTTAAATTCACTTGATATTTATCTGTTCATTTTTTATAACAAAGAATTGTACTTTTTGCACAGTATACTGTCATCTTTTCAAAAACCCTATAAAATGGTAATCTGATTAAAAAATGTATGTAATGTAGCCTATGTAAAATATGTAATGTTGTTTTTCTCAAAATAATTATTTATTAACCTTTGTTAACTTTAGTTAATAAAAATACAGCTGTTCAATCATTGTTAATGTATCTGAACAATGAACTTGTAATTTGAATAATGTATTAATAATTATTTAAATTAACATAAACTTTTTTTTTAAGTATTTTTCATTGTTAGTTCATGTTAACATATGAAACCCTATTGAAAATTGTTGCTGAAATAAAATAATACTAATAATGAATTTGATTGGTTGCTATCTAAGAGTGATTCCCACAGCAACATCAATCAACAAGACATCATCAACACAGCAATGAAATTGTATTTATTGATGTGTAACAATGAAATGATCTAACTCATGTGTATGTGCTAAGGGCCATTTCTCTGACTACACTCTCGATGTAACTCAAAGTATAAATTAGACACTATAGTGAGAAGAGATATTTTTAAACTCTGTCAGCATTCTGACATCTGTAATATATTGTGCCCAATGATATAATAACAAAGTTATAAATTCTATTTTCCATATACATTTATTTCAGTTTAGTTTATCTTTATATTCTATTTTGTATACATGCAGCTATTGCATTGTGTAAGACATGTATTATAGGCCAATGGAAAGCAACTATTGATTCTAATTAAAAAATAATCAAACAAAAACTGAAATAAAAAATTGGTAGGCTACTTTAAGCTAAAGCATGTCTTAAATTGGGTTCCATTAGTAAAAAAAAAAAAAAACCTTGACTGCTTTGCATAAACAGACACATGCATTGTCTAACAGTTAGTGCTTGCAGGAATGAAGCCTGTACTTGCCCTACCAGAATTGCCCAGACATGTTAGTCATACATTATTTGATATGGTTATTGATGCGTGTAAGCAGATAATAAAAGAGTTTTTACAAAATATGAACAATTAATTTCATAAAAACATAAACTAATATACATTTAAATAATAATAGCTGAGTAAAGTTTGATCACAAACTTTGATGTTGACTTGACAAAGCCTTATCTGAAAATTTGAAAAACTTTTCAAAGTTTTTGCTCAGTCAATAAAATGTTGTTAACATGATCTCATGCATTGTTAACATGTTTACAGTTTTTTTCAGTCGCTAACAAGCGTTTGTCCAACCAGTAGTCACATTTTCAAAACTCTAAACACAATTAGAACAGCATCGGTCTATTGTGGCCATAACATTCACACATTTCATGTCGTTTTCACACAATATGCAGTCAGTGAACACATTTCCACAATGCTTACATTTTCTTAACAGACAAGTTATACCTCCCAACAAAATTATGGATTGTTTTTGTAGTATTTGCGAATGTTAACACACACCATCCCACAATAGCAAAAACAATATTCCAAACCTTAGATACAGTATAAAAACCTCTGCTCCTGCAATGATATCAGTTCAAAAACAATATATCTCAGCAAAATAATAAACAAACAATTGAATAATTGACCCACAGCTTATTTATGTTGGGTAAATTAGGCCAACCCAAAATTACCCTTTTTTTTCTATTACATTGACACTTATACAGTAAAATTAGGACTTTGAGGAGTGATGTTTTTGGAAACAGAAACAGAAAAAGACAAACACTGAAATGTCTGGACGAGGAAGAGTAAGAGCAAGGGGCCCAGGGAGAATAGCAGGAGCAGTGAGAGATGCAGTGAGAGGCACAGTGAGAGATGCAGTGAGAGATGTAGTGAGAGATGCAGTGAGAGATGCAGTGAGAGATGCAGTGAGAGGTACAGTGAGAGATGCAGTGAGAGGTGCAGTGAGAGATGCAGTGAGAGGTGCAGTGAGAGATGCAGTGAGAGGTGCAGTGAGAGGTGCAGTGAGAGGTACAGTGAGAGATGCAGTGAGAGATGCAGTGAGAGATGCAGTGAGAGGTACAGTGAGAGATGCAGTGAGAGGTGCAGTGAGAGATGTAGTGAGAGATGCAGTGAGAGATGCAGTGAGAGGTACAGTGAGAGATGCAGTGAGAGATGCAGTGAGAGGTGCAGTGAGAGGTACAGTGAGAGATGCAGTGAGAGGTGCAGTGAGATGTAAGGGGTATACAGTCAAAGACCCAGAACCAGATATGAGGAATGAAGACCCGGAGTCAGAATTATAAAAAATTAAAGAAAAGTTTTACTGAAGATAGTTTGCATTTTCATCAGCAGAAGCCAGCTTCAAGACTCACACAGGAGTTCGTAGGCCGCCCCTCTTACAGTTACAAAGATCACAGCAGTTATACCATTTCCAAGGTCTAAGCTACGTCATTGCTTACAGGTTGAATGATTCTCATTGGCTAAGAAACATTAAGAGCCTAAACAATTTAACACATGTGAGGAGATAGGGGTGCCTATCGCCATTAGTCAAGATAGTTGTCGTCCACTCATTAGATTTAGGTCTGTGGTGGCCTCGCAGGTTAGAGAAGGGCGCCGGGGTGTCTGGTCCGACCGTCCAGAACCTACATAGAATGTCATACGCACACACACACAAACAACAGACACTAGCAAATAACAGCTCCCATCAAGGCTGAAGAGAGTCTGAGCTCCTTATTATCAGTTAAGTATACCAAAACATAATGCTAAAACATTCACTCGTTTGGGAGAAAAACAGATAACTGGCATTTACTCCCAAGGAAGGAAATATACTGGAAAGAATACATTTTAATACAACAATTAAAGTTTGATAGTAACGCTCAATATAGCTTGACTATATGTCCAGCGAAGAATCATATGTGCCCACGCTGCCTTTAGGACCCTCTAACCTTTCTACTGATCCCAGAGAAAGAGACAAACGGCCTTGTGGGTTACGTGGCCTTCGTGTCCTGCGTGTACTACGTGCAATCTCAAAGTAAGATTGGGATGCACCTAAAAGAAACTGGTTACTTGCATCCATGCATTTAAGAAAATATAATTTCACAAGCACAAGAATATAAAAATTATTATGTGATAATGAATATATTTGATTATTGATTTTTATAAAGGAAGTATATAACCATTCAAAATGACATATGATTATATATGTATTTGAAGAGGCAAGGGATTTTGACCAACCCTTCAGTCCCCCGTTTTAGACCAATGTGGGGTCCAATACCGCCACGTCTGGTCTAACCAGTGAGGTCACTACGGAAGGGAGGAGTGGTGACGCATGCTCCCCTGACGGGTCACACTTGTCTCTTCACCTCGTCATGGACATGCTGGATACTAAAAATTCCAGTCCCCATTAAGAGGCTCTCCCACCTTCCACTCACAACAGGACATCAATGTCATTCTTCCTCAGTTTATCAGTCAGGTTAAAATTTTTATAAAACACATAACTGATTACGAAACAAGTACATATTTATTCTCTGGAAGCCAGGCTAAATAAGCAAGCACTATTGCTGTATTTCTAGCATGGGCTAGATCCACAGTCACTACTCAGATCCTAAATAAAGACATTGTCTATAATCATGAATACCAGAATATATGCACTAGTTTTTATTTATTTATAAAATTATGATTTCCAAATCCTTTTATTATAAACAAAGTTGGATGGTTAATCCATTATTTTCACTACCCCTTTTATAGACCCTTTAGGTTTAAAACACAATGGTTGTCTAACTAAAAAAATAAACAACAAACAATAAAATATTAATAATTAAGACCCATAATAATCGATGTAAGCACTTTAAGTCTTTACTGAAATCATCCTTCAGTTTACAGTCACATAGCATGTACCATTTTAATTGTATAACATCTTATACCCTTTTTTGTTTGTTTCAAAAAATAGAAATAAAATAAAACAAATTCACATCATCATTTCAGTCATTATTTTACCACTAAAATATAGGATCGTTCCCCATTCTGCTTAATAAAGCTTTTGTTCATTCCTTATCCTTATATCACTTGAATCCCTGTCAATCATACAATGTCTAACCCTAACCTTTTTCATACCATTTAAACTTAATTTGACTTCCATAAATCCTATCAGAAATTGTATTTTCATAACATACATTTTCTTCTACTATATTTCTTCCATCTTGCCCTACATGCCAGTTCCTTCTGCATCCGAGTCTCTCACCACTGTCAGCCTAGTGACACTTAAAGTTCCCTCGTTAGGGGAATCATGGTATTTTATTAATTCTTCAATACTCTTGTTTTCTTATCATTAACTTCAACTTTATTTTTCATTATAACTACTTCTCACAGTATTTGTCTCAGTTCCACTTATCTTTACAGTTTTACAGAAACCAAAATATTATGTTACTCAGATCCCAGCCAGCCATATAGCTGCTTTCTCTTTTTACCTTTATTAAATTGTAGTTTTCTTAGACATCTAATGTCATACATACATTTAATGGATTGAGAAATAAAACCTTTTCTTTTTAGAAGTTATATTCACTCCTTCTTTGTTCGCCCTCCGGCCTTTCAATAAAAATGAGGGAGCTCACTCTGGATAATTTGAATAGTGACTTAGCCAATGTGCCACTTTGTCTCTCTGCCGTCAAGTCTATATATATATATCTTTTTTTTTCCCTACGTTTATCCTTATGATCCCACCTAGTTGTCTATTTAAATTTAGACCCTCAGTTGAATTTAGACAAGAGTTT